CCAACAACGTGCAGGTGGTTCCCAAGGACAAGAACCCTCCCAACACGCCAGAGCTCCGCCCAATTGAGAAATACTGGGCTATTGTCAAGCGGAACCTAAAGAAGACCAAAAGAACTGCTAAGGGCGAGCAGCAGTTCAAGGCAAACTGGCTTTCTGCGGCGAAGAAGGTGGACAAGGTGGTTGTACAAAATCTGATGGCAGGGGTCAAGCGTAAGGCCCGGCAATTCGGATTTGGAAAAGCGGAAGCCTAACTGAATATTTTTCCTGAATTTTATACTAATTGAACTTGAAAAAGAAATTTAATTTGATTTTTTAAATAAACGATTTCACCGATTTACACGCGTTTTCCCTTGACCAAATTTTGACCGTATCACCCTTTAAGTACCGATCCAATCTGTTGGGATGGATTAAATAATCAAAGCAGGGTTACTTCCACTCACTTGCTATAAAAATGTTTTTGGGAATTATGAAATCATTAGATGTTATCATGATAATTTATTTATTTATTTATTTATTTATTTATTTCGTCAACCAACGTAGGCTAGTACAATTAATATAGTTTTGTTTTCTTAAATATATATTTATATAAAAAAGTAGTGTCAGCTTTCTTGTCTTTTCTTTTATGAGTTGTTATTTCTTATGGAATAAAAATATTGCTTTAGTTTATGCCGAGACATTGTAAAGTCAATGGTTTCGCAGTGTTTATTGTAAGAGGCCATCATGCGGTTTAATGGCCCATATTTTGCATAATTTGTGCGATGATGTTTTATGGCAAATAAATTTCGATTTCGGAGTTGCCGAGTGGGTGCATGGAAATTTAATTTTGATAAAAGTTCTGTTGAGTCAATTCGCTGCGAAACGATATCATTTACAAATGAAACCATTGCATATTCACGACGCTCTTTTAATGTTTGTATGTTTATAAGCATGCAGCGTGCTTCATATGATGGAAGAGGAAATGAAGTCCAACCTAATTTACGAAGAGCGTATAATAGAAATTGTTTTTGTACTGATTCTAATCTTTCTTCGTGTGTGATTGAAAATGGAGACCATACAATACTGCAATATTCCAGTATTGACCTCACATAGGCAATATATAGTGTTTTAATTGTGTAAGGGTCCTGAAAGTTATAGCAAAAGCGCTTGATAAAGCCTAGCATGTTATTTGCCCTGTGAATAATTGTATTGTAATGGTCTATGAAAGTTAGCTTAGAGTCTAAGATAATTCCTAAATCCCTAACTCTTTCACATTTGTCTACAGTTTGATTTCCTAATGCAATTGAAATATTTGAAGTTGTTCTTTTTCTACTAAATGATATTAAGTTACATTTTTTTACATTCAATTCTAGTAGACTTTTTTTGCACCATATGTAGAATATGTGTATTTCATTCCGGAATATATTGATGTCTTCTTCATTTCTTATTTCCAAAAAGAGCTAGATTAGTACTAGCTACACGAAAATGTCGTGAAGTATGTGTTTGACTAATAAAACCTGTCAATATTGCTTTCAGTGCGTCACAATCAGCGAATTTACGATTCGTGATTGCTCACTCTGAGTGAACGATCACAAATCATAATATCGCTGATTGTGACACTCTGAAAGGGAAATTGACAGGTTTTATGAGTCAAGCACATACTTTCCAACCTCTTCTTATTTGTGTCAAGTGCAAACTATCATAATAGCATCCAATGATTCCTTAGTTCGGAAAAACATTTTTTATTGCGAAGTCGTGTTTCTCGACAACCATTGAACCGAATTGGACGCAACGACCACCAAATGAATGGTTTTGAAATCGGTCAGCTGGTTCCGGAGATATTTAGGAACAATTTCTTGATTCTACGGCCAAGCGACTAAATATGACCTGAAGCAAATAAAACCTATCATGATGCACATCATGTAACATGAGAATTCATAAAATATTTTAATGGAAGTCATTTTGATTGGCCAGGACCACACTGGATCCCCAGTTGCCAGTTTCATTTAATAAGAAGGGTCAGATTTCCCCATAGGTGGAATAATTCGGGTTTTTATAAGGTGTCACTCAATCAACTGAAATGAAAAAAAAAAAACAAACAACGCTTGCTGCTACCGTAATGCACCGAAATCCGGACACTATTTATAGATTATTAACAATGCCAACTATGGTTCAAAACAGCACGTATGTTTCAACCTAAGACAAGACAGTACAGGCTTTTTTTTATTCTTCTTCGCAGATTTTTCCTTCGCTCCTGCAGTCCTTGTTGAGCATTATTTGTGCTCAATCAATAAAAAAAAAGATCTGACAGTAATTTTGTACATATTTGGAATAAAAAATCAATATTGAACTTGAAAATCAACCTGAACACAATGACTGGATCAAAACTGGATCTAAATCTACAGACCAGTTGTCTTCCTTTAGATTTAAACATGACTTTATGGCATCGTTTATTATGTTGCAAAGTAGCCATAATAATGAATTAAAAATGAAATGTCCGGATTAACGGACCGTCCTTGAAACCAGGGCCGTTAGTAGCCGTATATGGGCCCTTTTTGCAGTATAAGGCTGATATACGGCTTTAAATTTTTATATTAGCCTTATATCAGCATTATATTGCAGCTTTTGCATTAGTGGGCTTGATGATAACTTGGATAGTACGCGTTGTTTCCGCAAAGCCATCATATTTTTATAAAATCCCCGTAATAAATAGTGCAAAATAAATTTTCAGTCGTCGTCATCAATCCCCGAGCAGGAACGAATATCTTGATACCTTAAATCGGTATGGATGAGGAAAAATACAAAAAAAAAATGTTCCCGCAATACCATTCCAATACCAAATTATGCAATTGCAACACCAAACCAATTCCACAAAGGTATTCTTTTGGTATTAAAAAATCATTTTTTGTTGTTTACAAAGTGTTCTGCATGCTATTTTTTATATTATTCATTTGTATTTTACCTCTTATGTCATGCTGATCAACACCAAATTTTGGTATCAGATCAGAATTGGGTATTCATTCATTATTTTCTCCTGCTCGGGTCTGTCAATTATTTAAAAGATCGTATCTAATCGTAATGAAACTTTCAGCTAAACAAACAGCAGTCCAAACATTCCAGAACCGATCACTAGAGATGCTGCTATATGTTCTGCGTCCAGGTTCTAACTGAACCAAGGTATAAAATCTGATATCCGAAATGATCGTGGGATTGCCATCATCTCGTGCATTCATAAACATTTCGAATCAATGATAAGCAAAAATATCTCCATCCAAATAAAACATAAAATAACAAATGCACAACACGGCTTTTTTAAATGTCGTTCAACCATAACAAACCTCTTGGATTTTGTTGAATACTCATTAACTGCAATGGACAAAGGAAACCAAATAGAAGCTCTTTACACTGACGTTGGATAGACTTGACATGTTGATTTTTAAATTTGAAAAAAAAAAAATGGGAATTGAAATGAAACTCCTCACCTGGATTAAGTCATATTTAACGGCCTGTCAGCAAATTGAAAGATTAGCGAGAAAAATTCTAATCCAATTCAAGTCCTGTCAGAAGTTCCCTAGGGCTCGCACTTGGGACCTCTTCTTTTCAATTTGTACGTTAACGATATCTCTCTTATTTTGAAAAATCTCAGAGAGCTTATTTATGCTGATGACATAAAACAATTTTAAGAGATAAGAAATGATGATGATATGAATACGTTTCATGTTTTTTAAACGTGGTGTTGTAAAAGTTTGTTGGAACTCAATGTTAAAAAATGTAATATTATTACGTACAGTAGAAAGCTAATCAAACCAGATACTCATTTCACAGAAACAGATACACAGATTTCATTATGTAGTCCAATTGTTCTTACATGTAATAAAATCAGAGCTTTAATAGCTATTCTAATTCTGATTGTGGATCATTATAACAGATTATTTCATAGAGGATGCAATATGCTTAATTTTATAAAGCGTTTTGGTTTCCACTTTAAAGATCCTTACACAATTAAAACACTTTATGTTGCCTATGTGAGGCCAATATTAGAATATTGCAGTATTGTTTGGTCAACTTATATGAAAAACCATCAATAACGAATGGAATCATTCCAAAAGCAGTTCTTATTATATGCACTGCGTAAATTTGGCATGGACAGCATTTCCTCTGCCATCTTATGAAGCACGCTGCTTGTTAATCAGCATTCAGGCATTAAAAGAGCGTCAGGATCATGCTAAATATGCCTCCGCTAAAATTGAAAAAAATATTTCCAAGCATTGCAAAATCATAGATAATAAGTTATAATGTAATTATGTGGTCTAAGATTTATTTTTCTGATTGACGAATAAATAAATAAATAAATAAAAACATATAAGACACTGACGAAGTTTGCTCATTGTAGACGAAATACGCGTATTTGACAAGGATAAATGATTAAGCTGGTAAAATGTAAAGGACATTACAAGTCCTTCTCTCTTTCTTTATATATCAATACATCATATACATCATGCGTTTGAACCTAGAAGAGTATTAAAAAAAAAACTACTATGACCAAAAACTAGTTTATTGATTAAAAGTATGGAATAAAGTTACTATTTATTGCTATGTGGTCATTTTGATCCCTGAAATGTTTAAATAATAAGGTTGTCTGAAGATGTGTTGTTTCAAAATAACAATTTTGGTTTTGTTATAGTGTTTTGAACCATGTTTTGAATTTTTATTCAAATATTGTTGCCTGAAAATTAGATAGTTAATCGGGAAATTGTACGTCTATATGATTCTTTCGGATATAATTTTAGACTTTTAAACTGGGTCCAGACGTAGGTTCAATTTATTTTTCTAAAATTCTATACTACCACTAAAATATACCAAAACGTGTCGTATCTAATCTAAGCATGTTTGAAACATAATGGGTGTAAGAAATTTCTCAAATGCTTCAAGTGTATATAATATTAAATATAATTTGCGCGCATGAGACCTTTTGTAAGATTGCAATAAAAAAATTCAGTGTGTATTTTTGTTTGCGTCACATGTCTTTATCAAATTTCTATTTCATCCTAAATTAAATCTGCCATCTATTCGTATAATATTTTTTATCGTTTCTTATTATCTAAAATCACCAAATGTTTTGGAAATAGATGCTGGAGTATTGTCACTCAATTTACCGTGCATGAAACACGAGTTTAAAAACAGGATGTATCGAAACAAACAATATCAAAACTAAATGCCTGTCGTCTTCGTATATGTAGCTGATTGATGAAACATTAAATATAAGATTACAATTTGTATTCTTCACATTGAGACTTTTGTGATTTTTTTCACTGCTATTTTTTTGCTGTTCAAATAATAATAAAAGAGGCACTTCTTATTTATTTCGACAAACACAATAATACTTCTCCGATCACTCCTTTGTTTTTTTTTTATCTAAATGCAAGTTTATAATATAGAAACATATTGTCGATATGTTGTAATAGCTACGGTGAGGAATCCTTATCCCCGGATGTTTTTTTGTCGTATTCTATTTTTATGAATTTCTAATGCTCAAGCATAAAAAATCTGCATAAAAGAATACGGGCAAAAAAACATCCGGGATTAAAAATTCCTGGCAGTAATTGAAAGTTAATTTGTAAAAACAAGATCTGAAAGACAAATAAAAAAAAAAAGGTTTACAGTTTATTGCTGACTTATCAATGTTGCTCATATAAAATTTGATCATCACAGAAAACGCTGTTCAAATAAATTAAAAAAATGTTTCGAACGAAACTAAAATTCTTGGTACAAAGATTTTTTTTTTTCAGTATCAGTGCAAACAACAAGGACATAAAGAATGATAAAAGGAGTGTCTTGAAATAACATGGGTTTAAAATGGGCAATTTTAAAATTTTCAGAAAGTCTCTACGATATAATATAATTATAATTCAGTTCCTATTTCTAATCAGACAAAAAGAATATGTTATGGCAGATTTATCTTACTTTCATATCTATTGATCGCTAAAGTGTAGAACATTATTTTACTGGAAGAAATTGAATGGAATGTCTGAATGATCAAAACGAATGCACGCAAAATGTAAAAGAACGATCCAATCCACAGTCGAGTGCACAATTACCAGTAGTAGAGAATCACTCGGGTCTTGTAGAAACGTTTATGCTGTACCCTATTCAGTGTGATCCTTGAAAAAAAAAGTAAATATGTTAATGCCATTTACTCGTCCAAATGAAGGATAAGAGTCTGATCGGAAAGCAATTTACTTCTATGCTTGCACTTAAATCACTGAATTGAATATTTTATAATCATATCACTACAATACACAGAAACATCTATACCAAATTGGAAAGAGCGCATGTATTTGTAAGTATGCATAGCGTTCATCTTCCAGCCAGTTAAAAACCTTCTTATTAAAAAAATAAAAATAAAAAGAAACAAACCTTGCTTTTAGATCTTCGAAAGTGCTGCCGTGTTGTCTCTAGTCTTCTTCTTTTTACTGTGCATGTAAAAATTTAGGATCGATGAACTTCCGCTTGTTATACACTTCTTATTCCTTTCTGCATTATCCCATCTGGCGTTAAACCATCTCTTTGCCCTCTAACTTAAGAGAGAGGTCAGAAATAATTTCTTTGTAAATTAGCGGGTCGATATTTTTTCCAAGTTGATACAGAATGAACCAATCACCCAGCTGACATTTTGATGAGATTAGTTCTACTTCATCGTGCAAAGAGAGGCGCGACCTCGCTCGTAGCAAATACAGTCTTACTTTAGGCATGAAAATGACTGCAAAACGGTACACCAGCGACGCTCCAGTTAAAATAGTCAAAATGATAAACCAGAACCACAAAAATACGTAGATTTTTTCGTTTACAATATTCAAAGGCAATACACAGAGACCATCAAACTTCTGGACGCTGCCTGAAGGACCATATTTGTGGAATGTACATTTTGTAACTTTAGGGAACACGCGAGCCATTGGATCACCTCTTTCCTCTGGTTCCATTTCTGTAAAACGTACAACGTCACTGCCATATGTCGAAAACTCGCCATCAAGGAAAAAATCCATGAAGTAAATTTGTCCCAAAACGTTGATGAAGTTTAAAACTTCACATATGAAAAAGCGAATTGCATAGAAATTATGTCTGTTGATATTCTCAACGAAGTAGTCCACCAAAATCTTTTTCCTCTCGTCCTTACATTCATCATTAACGACTGGCATGTTAAGATCAAGAACCAACATCTTGATCCTGCCTGCTTCCCATGTCTTCCACAGATAGCGTGGAACATAGAATAACATGGCTTGGAAGAACAGTACAAAGCAGACCCATTGGTAGTATTTATGGTACTTCACTTCATCATGGCCGTCGACGTGACTTGACACTCCCGGCTGCGCTATGTCTTTGCCTGCAATTCCGGTCAGGCGGTTAGGTATGGTGAAAGTTGAGTAAATCCAGCAGTATGTATCCATCACATTCAGAGGAATTTCATCCACGATGCAGTCAATCGGATCACCAATGTATTGTCTTGAGGTGACCAGCAGAGAAAAGGCTATCAGGATTACCACCGTTGCCTTGTAATGCAGACGAAATATATTGTTGTCGATGCATACTTGATCGAGTTTAAGAAGCCCCTTAACGGAGCCAAACACATCAAACATGGTGGATGTTTGTCAGATGTGTGGTATTCTGATGAGCTTTCAGCTTTTTTTTTTGTGTTTCTTTCTTCACACTGACACAAAAATTATGAAATCCAAGCACTTAATTGAATGGTGATAACCTTCTATCAATTGCCACAATTTTATAATCACTTTTTGCACCAGATGCAAGTGACGAAATGAATTTCAACACGAGATACAACGATCGTTTCGTCTATCAACGAAGCGAACGGTCGAGAGGACCAGAGGCAACTGTACTACCTTGCTCTTGTTTGATTAAAATGTATATGTGAGTGTGAGATGATTCTTGGATTTATGTATGAGATCATAGGTACTTAAAAAAGAGGACTGAAGTAAAGATTGAACACCACCCGTTCAACTACAGACACTGGAATGCAGACAACCAGATAACTTGAACAATGTATATGTTCACGATGTGAGGATTTTTATGAACTCAGTAAGTATTTCATGTTTCGCTTCCAACATTTGATATTTGGAGAAAAAAACAAAAACTTTTGTTTTTCTTTATCTTTCATCAACAAAAGTGTTGACACCACAAGAGCTTTAGTGTTGCTCGTGTCAAATTTAACGTTGTTCATCGTTAGTATGACCAGCGCGCTCATGTTTAGTACTGCGCTTCGGCACGCACACAAATGCGATTTGTCAAGTGAGTAAATCAGATGGGAATTAAGTTTTCACGAATACAACGAATAATTTGAAACACATATGTAATCTTGGCTATTGTGGTAACAAAGGTCACCACGACACTTTAAGTCTCACGTATTAGTGACATACTAAAAAAACGCATAGCTTGAAAACCCACACAATGATTTCGGTTTAAATGCAATTCTCATCAAAAAATAAAATGCCTAAATATGAATCATTCCTAGATTTACCAAATTCATTTTGACAGCGTTGCTATTTTGGTTTTGATGTGAACGTGGGAAAATGAAGGAAGGGGAATGTATGCTTCTCGTGCGCTCGCGTCAATGAGAAATCTCATTGGAATAAAGAGAATTTTCTGATTCATCAAAGGACCTGTAAAAACTAAAAAAAATAATCTTTAAAAAAATAGAAAAGACAGTGCAAGGACGATGACCGGTTTCTCATTGGTCTCCTACTCTTACGAAGGCTTTTATTCTTTTTTTTTCTTGAACAAACAGCTAATATTTGGATATTTATACCAACATAGCCTGCGCAATGAATCAAGAGTCAAGATAGGTTGTGTTAGTTATATGACCAATAAATGGTTCACTTGATCGATGTGTCATTTGCTATGAATATTTCAAAGGAATGCATAAAAAATTCACTTTGTTGTCGTTCTCTTTCATCAGGCTATTCTGTATTTTTCTACATTCAAACATTCATTTAACATACATGTAAGCCAGCCTATTCCGATCAGTGCTGCAAAACCTCGACCATACACGACTATACAAAACAGCTTTGGTCAAGGGAATCAATCCTGTTGGTGGCGAACAAGTGCAGTTTTTGTTATTAGCTAAATTTGTAACACAATTGAATAAACTAAACAAAACAATTCCATGAAACCGTTAAAGTAATTTAAAACAATGTGACACATAATGCACGGAATGACACTTCTTGTCAATCTTTGTCATTGTCGAAAAAATGAATGAGATTTTAGAGAAGATTTTTTTTTTGAGAATCAATTATCTTTCAATGACAATGAGAAATTTCCTTCGAGACCTCGTTTGAGACCATCGGTTGTTCGATTTCGAACTCAACGTAACCTGGTGAGTCGCAAATCTAAAGCGCTAGTGGAGCAGCACATAAATAATTTTTTTTTTTTAGGTATCCAGTACTTGCAGCTTTCACCACGACTGTTGATCTGGTTCTTTCTAGTGACCCCGGTGTGCCGTAGTAGCCAACCGTTCCGTTATTCTTCGTGAGCCGGTTCCTTCGACACCATCGTTTGTTAAAAAATAAATAATAATAAATTAATAATAAATTTGTTATTGTCTTCACGGATTTGATTGTTTTTGATGTTTAACATTAGGAATAATTACGTGCTCGTTATACTGCAAGCGTCCCTTTTCTTTAATAATTTATTTCCGGGAAAAAAGTGCCCAGTAAAATAACGTACCGTTGGGTTAATTTTACTCAAAAATAGGTTATTTATCAGAAAAAATCCCGGTAAAATAACTCATGGTTGAGTTAATCTGACCCAACGCTAGGTTTTTTTTTATTCGGAAAAAGTACCCGGTAAAATAACCTATCGTTAAGTTAAATTTTTCTTATTGATCAAATTTACCCACTGCAGTCTTTTCCCAAAATTGGGTTTTTGCATGTTTACCCAAAATAAGCTTCTCGTATGGAACTTCGAAGTTGAGTCAAAAGAACTCTAATTTGGGTATTTTTTTTATTTCTGTGTACAATCGTAGCACATCCTAACAGGTTTCAACTCTCAACATCCGGTTAGAATTTGAGGGGGCTCTCTGGGAATCGAATACAGTCAACTTTCGTTCGTTGGGCTAAACCTTTAGCCCACTTAGTGAAAGACATTCGTTAGTTGGGCTTAGCTGTCAAGCTGAAAATTGGTTGAGGGATGCACCGATTGTTAATTATCATCACAATCCTTTAGCCACTATCCAAATTGTTCATACATGAGCCCCTCGAAAAAGAAATAGCACTGTTAAAAATGACGTTTGACTTCGATTTATGTGGGCTACAGCCCAACTAACGGGAGCCCAACTAAAGCGTAGCACACCTAAACATAGCCCAACGAGCGACTGTAACTTTCAACATTTGCTTCTGCAGACATTCTAATTTTTTAAACTGTGGAGCAGTTCCGCGCGAAATAGGTAATTGACCAGACTTTTATCATCCCGATTTAAATGAAATGTTGTCCATGTTTTCGACGGCGGAAATATGCATCTTCCATTGGCGTCTTTCAGTGAAACTTTTCCAAGCTTTCGCCGCCTATATTTCGAAGTGAGAACCACTAGAAGGAGGATAGTTTCCAAATTCACCAAATGAAACAGACGATTTTTGGGGCAAATCGGTCCATAAAGAAAAACTAATAATTTCCGGTGGAAACTTTTGCTTGAATCGTGTAAGAAAACGTATTTGCAAACTAACTGTTATTATTTCGGTATGGATCGGAGATGTTTTCATGGAAAATTATGCATAACAAGTTTGCACCCACAGGTAGAGGTTACCTCCTGCGCAGCTGCATTTTCAGAAAATCGTGAATATGTGCGATTTCCACTAGGAGTGGACATTAAGTTAATTTACTTAGGAAAGATTTTATCATGCTCCTGATAATGGAGAAATGGTTGTATAGGACGCCAATATTCAATAAATGTTCATTTTGGCCTTTTTTAGGTAAACATATTGATACTCACAATTTTCGACGGAAAACGCAACCATACTATAAAATGGTACTCGATGTTTTATAAAGTGATAACAAGATGACAAATTATCTTTATTTGAAGTTATTGAGCAATTTACTTCTGTTTACATTATATGTACGATGCAGCATTGATGGAGTTGTGAAATGAAATGAATATATCTTATGAAAGTTCATCTGGAAAAGTCAAAGATGCACATCAGTGTGATCGTAGAAACATTTTCATCTTCGATTCGAATGTTATATTGGAAGGATTTTACGCAGGATTGATGAAAATTATGATTTAAAGCTAATTTTCACGAATTTTATATGCAGTCTGTCAACATTATCATCATCATTCTGTGGCGACATCTGCTTCGAGCTTTTGATGATGATGATGATGATGGTCCCACCTCTTACCCCTACAAAGGTTTAAGCTGGACGATTTATCTTTAAGATAATTGAATATGACATTTTAACCAGGTTGGCAAACAAAATCGAACTGGTTTCTGTTACAGATATAGATTCCCTCTAAAGTTTACAGTTGCTTCACAGCGATATAAATGTGGAAAAGCTCAGGCGTCCACCTCTTAGTTCGCCTTTTTGTCCACCTAAAATATTCATAAGTATTACAAGTAATCAAGAGTTAATGAACAATCAACAAAGCATCCTATTACACTAGTAACCCCGCAATCTGATGCTATCATAATTTTCAGCAATGTCAGGAATGCTCACGAACCCCCAACATTTGCCAGAAAACTTACTACTAACTCAAAGTATCTTCCAAATAAGCTTCAAAATTGCATTTTTTTTATCAAATGTTAAATTCAGTCCTCTATATCCGTAATACGCGCGCGAGGCTCAAACCTTTGTAGACTACTTTTTTTTTAAATTAATCTACTATAAAATCATATATTAAAAATCCATCATCACCCTCGTGGCGAACAGAAATAGTTTTTGCAGTGCTACAATAATTATTAAAAAGTCGTTATGACAGCTATCCATATAAAATAATCCGTTAGAGATAACTTCGTCAAGATACATAATTTGTCAATTCATAAAAAAATCACTGGATAACTGTTCAAAAGACAGTTTTAACGTGTGAAATGCAGTGTCTTTTAAATTCCGTAAGTGTTGCTAAACGTTTGATATGTCTAGGCATCGAATTGAAAACATTTATTCCTTTATAATATAATGAATTTTGTGAAGCACAAGTCAAGAAATGTGGTGTTCTTATTTCAACCGCGTTTCTAGTATTATATCTATGAAAATCACTTCGCCTTTCAATTTGATCACACAAATATCGAGGTAGCAAACCGTTTAATTACTTTTAAAATGAACACCATAGTCAAATATACAATTCTTTGCTTCACCGACAACCATTGTAAGGCGTCTAACATCAAAGTTGAGGAAGTGAATCTATTACATCTCAAAATCAAACGCATTATTTTACTCTGCAAGCGCTGTAATCTCGATATTTGTGTTGCATTGGCCAGAAATGAAATGGAAGAGCAAAAGTCAAGATGAGGAGAGATGATTGATTTGTATAGCTGTATTTTACTGGCAATAGTTAAATCGTTTTTCAGTCGACATAGAATTCCATACTTCTTGGCAATTTTCTTGATGATATTGTCAATGTGAGAGTTGAACTTAAGTGTGTCATCAATAATCACGCCAAGATATTTAATCTCCCGTGCGCGATCAATAGTCTCATCATCAATTACAACAGAGACGTTCTTATTTACTCGATTCCGCGAAATTACCATAAATTTAGTTTTACTTGTATTCAATGTTAACTGCTTATACTTCAACCATCTACTTAGAGAACGCAAATCTTCATTCAAGTGTAAAACGGCATCATCTAAATCCTTAGCTGCAATGAATAACACAGATTAATGTCGCAAAATCGTAAAACACGTCGCAAGT